AGTGGGAGAATGTAGGGTTTTCTTTGGGGACCCTGCCCGGAGCCGATGACTCAATAGTCTGACCTGCTCGGCTGCAGGGGGTTGGCCTAACCCGAGGGCGCAGGGAATAAGGCATTAGTGTCTCATTCCTGATGCGGCTGCGCACAGCAGGTGTCTTTTGAGCAGCAATGGGGTCTTTGGCCTTAAAAGTATTTCAACCGTATTGGATAATGCGCCGGCGGTCACGGTCAACCGTTGGCCATTCGGAGTGTGCGGTTTTTGGGGCCGACCTTTTCTAACCCGTCCTTCCTCGGGGGAAGGCAGCACCGCTGCTTCCATAAATTGGACATGCTCCACGTCAAAGTGGCAGCTTTAGGTCGGGTCAAGGTGGCAGCTTTAGGTCGGGACACAAGAACACTGAACATTTTTTGACGTTCTTTGACAGCTCATCACCGATTTCTCTCTTCATGTAGTTCATCAGACGGTATAAGTGTCTGTCACACTAATTCTCTGCTTGAACTCAAATCGTAAGAATATCATAAACGAGAGATTCAGCTGAGTCTGTGGCTAATACCAAAGTGACAAAATAAGAGGAATTCTTAGTAATGTACTACTCATAAGGTTGCTTAAAATCCATCGACAACCCACGACCGGTTTCGCCATTTATGGGGCTCATGAGGTAGGCGCAGTCACCGGGTTTTCGTCGACCTTATGATCTACTAGAAATCGAACTGCACGAAATTAGCGAATATACACTCATTTGCAAACTAATTTGGAACCCAGCTGAATCTCCCGTTTGTGACGTTCTCAGGTAACTGAATGTGCTGCACCACGCCGCTTCATGTTTCAGTCGCTACGATATTCTCTCAGTTGTGCAAAATTTGGTGCTCAGTTAGGATACAAGTTTGCAGGAAATTCGTGGACTACGACTGCCTGATCAGCCCCAGGAAGAACGAAATCGGTGGACGAGTTTTCCGAGGCTCTATGAAATCCAGTAACTTGCTTGCTTCCATCGCGGAAAATTTCAGCTTTTAATTTGGTTCAAGGTGAGCAAAATGTTAGCAAAACAAAATAAACCGAATATTTGGGGGTGTTGATGGTGATGTGCGGACAACCCTGAGTTTAAGGGTATAAATTTAGAGAGGACACCGACGTCGTCAGGTTACTTGGGGTTTCCATTCTAGCGTGCAATTATGCCTTCATTGGTGAAAACACGTATCACCCGCGACGCCGGATCTCCTGACTTCGTTAGTCTGCAATTGGATTATGACTGAATTATCTGACCTAGACTAATAGAGCGTGCTCACCGAGGAAGAACTTCCAAAGGTGTCTGGTAATTTGTCCACAGATCTGCATTAAACGTACATTTTATCCATGCCCTTATTTTAGTCTGCAGTCTCCATTGCAGCTGTTACTGGAATACTGTTAGCGTTGACTTACCTTTTCTCCCCAACTTCTTCCCCAACTGTTCTTCACAATCCAATACGGTCGTTGCCAGAAAGAAGTAACTCCGTATCCCACAAGTAGAACAGCATGGTCCAGACCTTGTTCCGAACATAGCATATGCGGTGGATGACTGACACCACCAAAGTAGAACTAAAAGGAACAGAAGCGTAAATGTACAAGGGGAAGGTCAGTGAGGTAGACCGCCATGCACACATAGCACACCGATACGACTTTACATATTTGCAGATTAAGCAACCTCTCTGATAGATGAGACGCTTTTTAACTGACTGATGAGAAGAAACCTGCGCATTTATTCAACTACCAGGTTTAGGTAACTATTGGAACTTCAGGTGCACCCCTTCGACCGTCGAGGATTCAGTCTTTTCTACTCACAAGCGGTGCACTTTCTTTCTCATATAAGTCACGAGGAACTAATTGGACTTTATTCTATCACTAACATAAGTTTCATTCAAACGGTAAGTTTGCCGAGAAATTTGTGGACAGAATGATGCCAATCAGTCCCCACTAACCGGATCAGAGAATCGGATAAACGTGGTCAAAACTCCCGGGGAGATTCTTTGTACAGCATCTGTGAGCAGATACGAAAAGATAAAGTTTGCTTAGGTTCTAGCTTCCTCGGGTGGAAGAATTCCAACAATATTTACTGTTCCGTGGAGGTCAAAAGACTTTTCGGTTCAACAATTTTACGGCTTCGCCCTTTAATGAAGAAGAAACTCATGTTAGAGGTAACATATATGAAAACTGTGCCTCGTTCCGTGTTTAACCCAGTATGGATCTAACCACCCAGTGACGGTGTCGTGCATATTCCTTGTTTGTATTCGTATCTCAGCTACTCGGCTTATGCTTGGTATTTATCCGTTTTTTACCAGCTTCCAGTTACCAATAATCGAATCCTGTTGTATATCCAAATTCTTCTACGGCTCACAGGTACAGTGACTATGCCCACACTCTACTTCCTGTCAGCAAATACGAAACACGAAACTGTAAGTGACAGGCATAAGTAGAACGCTGATATGTAGTAATCACCATTACTGACCGGCCCGTGAAACCACAGTTTGAGTCTCATAATGAGAACAGAGAGAGAGAGAGTTCATATTAGTTTGCACTCTTATTTCTCGAGATTTAATCTGGCCGACGTTACACACACAAGTTCACACAAAGTTGGTGGTAAGCATTCATTGTTTCAGATATTGGTTGTCAAAATGTTGTCGCTTAGCACCTTCTTTATACTTTGGCGAGTTTTGACAGATTACGTCTCCCAGTGGAACTCGGTCAATCTGCCATTCTAGGCTGCTGGATTCGTCAATAGGATCCGAAACACACTGCTTGTTAATTGCTAAAGATAGAGAAATAAGTTGGAATCTTTCCAGTGACGTGTAAGTTATTAGCGGAATCGTTCCAAAGGAAGGCGGTGGTGTAGCTCTAAAGATCACGTATAACATTCAATCTTACCTGAAGAAAGTTGGCATTCATTCCAACACTGATTGGTCCGTTGTCGGTGAGCCAAGCGGCTAGCTCGTTTTCATCTTTGGACAAGGTCACAGAACTATTGATGTAAGCGGAGATGTTGTTTGGCTTCAAGTTGCAAGTTTCCTTGTGCGCTTCATATGGATAGTCCTTTTCACTCATCAGCCCACCCATTCTCACGATGCTTTCGTAGGCCCATTCAGGGAGCCCACCGTTGCAGGCCTCGTCTTTTTTATCACAGTCCAGAAGTTGCTATGGTACCCGATAGTATAAATAGTACAAGAGAAGGAATACAGCCACCCGGAAATAGGGATGATGGAGCAATACAGTGTCGTTCTCTATCTTTTTATGTGAGGTAAATCAAGGTTTCTGTTTATATGAGCAGTTAGCCAATATTCCAAATTGTGTGCTTTTTAATACAGCTGAGTACCATAAGCCTGTGTGCCAGACCATACTCAAGTTAGCTTTTGTTAAAAGATTAGGCATATTCTTCGTCCAAATTAGTGAGTAACCAAAGGAACAACATATGTCCACAAGAAAAGATTTCCACTGAAACAACTGAATCTCTAGCTAGCGAAAGCCCAAAGTTCCTGCGTTAGTAAAGCCGGGATTCATGTAGTTTGTTGATACTATATCGCCTTATTTTCGCTGGTTCGGTTACCTTATTAAAGACAGATTACCCCCAAGTTGTCACTAAGTTTTGCTTAATCTCGGGATTCAAAGTCCTGGCTGAATAAGAAAGATATTCTGACAGAAACCTCCTGAAGAACTGAGTTTTTTAAAAGAATTTCAGCCCGATGTGCAATTCATACAACCCTCAGTGGATATAAAAGTCTTCCGAGACGCATGTCACGATATTTCCCGAGTACACAGTGAATGTAAGAAACAAATACACTGCCCCCCATACATGATGAGTAAGCCCCATAAAGAACACGAAATCGGCATATGCAGGTCCAAGAAGAAATGCAACTACTCGCGGGATTTCGATGGTTTTATTGACGCTCAGGTGCAGTGGAATGTACCCTTCCGCTACCTGCCTTTGGCCGTTTTGCGTGTACACACTGGGCTATCCAGCATAATGTATTCATTTGCCTGCGCATGTGGGAACAAGTGTGATACAGTGATGGCTTTTCGGAGTATCTGTAAGATCCCATGATTTTTCGATCGTATCACAGTTTGTTCTTTTTTTTCTCAAAAGCGCTCGCCACCCAGAGGGAATTTCGCTGTCAGACTTTTGGGGGAGCAATTGAAAAATCTGATTTCGCGCTATGTATAACTTCTTAACAATGTGGTCTAGCTGTAAAGCATGGGGAAAATTTTCTCAGAATGACATGCTAAGTGATGGTTTCTAAAACTGTCCCATGATATTGGTTACTTCAGGTTATTACGTGCTCTGTTGTGGTTGCAGGCGATGCCAAATAATACGTCGTTTACAACTCTTTCCTGGACTTCAATATAAACAGACGGATAAGAAAAGGCACATTTTCAACATATATACAATCAAATTTGTCTTGGCCTATAAACGGTGCTTACTGAAAACTAGATGGAAGGGAACTGACCTGTTCGCTTAGTGATACAAGCTTTTTTGTTTTCTTATACCACTGTCCCTCAATATTACCGGTCACTGAAAACGCCCAACAGGAACCGCACATTCCTTGGTCTTTGACCTCAGTTACCACGCCATGCTGACGCCAGTCGAAGCTCCCAGGAAGCGGTTTGGTGGGGTACGAAGTAACCTTCGGACGGTTTGACCTTGACGGAGACCGCTTCATGTTGGCGTGGGTGCGCTTGAATTCCTCCTCTAAATAGAAGAACTCTTATCCCACAAACAAGTATTTTTACCTGTGAGATCTGCAAACTGTGTGATTCCGTACCTTGCTGTCCCTTTGTCAAGCACCTGAAGCAGTTGTATCTTTAGAAGATTTGCCTTGAAGATTCGAAGCCGCTTCAGATTATCTGATAAGTGAACAACAATATGAGTTGCTTAACCGAAATAACCTTGAGCGGAGTACTGTTTCCCGTGCTGTTGTTTGAAGAGCGAGTATATGGAGTTGACATTTTTTGGCAGTTCAAATCCGAGGAACTGAAAAAATATGGAGGGAATGGACGTTGTATATATGAACTAGTGCTCGTTTTCTGTTAGACTTTTTAAAATGCACATTTTCAAACCCAGTTCGATTCCATATGGTGTAAAAATCACCAATAACATCTTTTAAACAGTGAAGCTCCAACCCTTTCATCATGTTGAAACGACATAGTGTTTAATTTGGCGTATGTTGATGGAAAAGTCTTCCGACTGTGCATATCTGACTAGTCGAAAAAATCACGGAAGTTTATGACATCCACCTGATTGCGGGCTGATGTTTATACATGGCAGCTGAGTTTGACCTACGTGGATATAGTTTTATGTCTTTTGGTGGCTAATAGAGCTGACAGTAACTATTCGTCGACAGTTTCACATTCAACCTCCCACCCAGGCGTCGTGGCCATAGGTGAACAAACGAAAGGCACAGTCTGTGCTCTTATCTCAGGCTTGATAAGAGAATTTAGGTTACAAGTTAAAACCGACAGGTAACTTGGCTATATTTGGCGCTACTTGCTGAAATATTGTTTTACGGATGATACTGCTTTAGCGAACCAAATTCACCTAAAATGCAGCGAATTTGGATTTGTTTGATATCAGGGGTGCTCGTCCATTTTGAAACTCAATTTTATGCTAATGTGGCTTCCAGTAAAGCGAACGCTTCCATATTTAACGAGACGGGTGGCTGTGCAGTCCGTTTCAAAAAATGCTACAATTTAAAGTGAGCTGAGAAAATAAAATTCATGACTTCTGTATTTGAAACGCATGCCCTATAGATACTTCCCAAACTAAATACCATTGCACAGAACAAATGAACGTAATATGGGAACACAGAATCCAATTTTTTGGTCACTGTTCAGGAAGCCAGCCAAGCAATATTTGAATTTCAAAAGTCAGTAGAAGCCGGTAGCATGTTTGTTTATGGTCGCCTGAGGTGCAGAGCTTCAAGCCCTCTGCCACAAGTTGCTTGAAAGTCAAAATATTATGGAACCAAAATCATTGAGCAGTTTTCATGTAATATGGGCAATAACAACGACAGGAATCACAAGAACTGACGGACTTAACATCTCTTAGGCTACACAATCATAAAGTTCATAACATGGACAAATGCTGAACCTAAAACGGTTAAATACCGGGCACCTAGGCCAATGGTCAGTAAGGGATTAAACGGCTGAGCCACGACCACCTGTATAATAATCTTAGGATACAAACAAAGCAAAAGAAATGATGACCTGTGTGGTTAGGTGTAGATTTATCTATAAGCGTCAACTTGCAAATGGATTCGAACAAGAGGATTTTGTTTTGTGTGAAAAGAGCTTTTGACGAATAGGTGACGCAGTTCGGCAGCAATTGCTTCGTTCAGATAAATCATGCTAAATGATAGCGATTCGAAATCCGCGTGATCTTTAAGAACCCGTAAGGCGGTAGCGTCTGTTCATCAAGTTTTGATCAACTGCAATATGGGTCCATGTCACGTTATCAACAACAAGTCTAAGAAGCAAGTTCACTGTTGATCAGTCCTTCTGACGTTTAATTGCTATTATCTTCAAGGAAGACCTCAATCATCTGTTGTGTTCTCTGACTATATTGCTTGCAAGAAGTATAGCTTGTGTGCAGATCTCTCTCCTAATAATCTGCATTTTTGTTGTTTCTTCAAGCGTCAGACTGGGGTTTCTTAGATAAGTAAATAGTGTTTCAATCACGGGCAATTTTGAGAGAAAACTTTAGGCTATCACTGTCTGCGATGCCACCAGATGCAGGTGTGTACCTTAGGGTACTCTTTTCAAGTTCAATAAACGTCAGTTTGACAATTCACTGAAACCATTACTCCAGTTTCATCTTGGATTCCTTTGAGTCTCTTGCAGAAGAAAACTACTGTGCAAATGAGTGAATGGTAAAAATTGCGTCCAGTTGTGTTCAAGTGGTATATCAGGCAGAAATAAGCTAAGTAATAAGTATAACTTGAGTGCGGCCTTGTCCTAGAATTTCATTTGGAGAAATATCTCCTGTTCGGACATTTCAGGTAGTTTTATGTGGGATGAACCATCTGGGCAGTTTCGAGTCGGTAAACCGTTTTACCTACACACACGTTATTGATACTAGTTAGAGGTAAAAGCTCTAATTGTCAATGTATTTGTTTATTGAAAATGTCTCATCAAAACCTGAATCTTCGACTTAGTACTTATAAAGTGTTCCGTCAGGATCACCGGCTAGTGTACAAACCAAGGTTCATGTACACGGTAGTTTTGTCGAAAAGGCTGCTTACAACGAGCGGTTCAATGGGTCTTAGATGGAGAACTATCAAAGTTTAGAGGGAACAGTCCGTATCAGCTGTAGGGTCAAATAATTGTGTACGTGCCCCAACTTTTTACACTTACACGATGATAACCTTAGGTTAGCACATTAATATCTAAACGTCCTTTGAAACACCCGCAACATAACAAAGACCCTGCCAAAAAGACCAAATCCGTCGTCAAGAAAAACTGTCAGTGTGTGCCTATGTAGGTACCTGGTCCCTCCTATGAGGGACCTGTTCACCTGGAGCACTAAAAAGGAACCAATCACAAGTGAACTTACCTGAAACGTTGTATTTACGGAAAGGAAGTTTTCGGTAATGTGTCATAATGGTGAGAATTTTATTGTGCCAACGAAGGTAACTTCAGGATAATGTTATTGTTCCAAAACCCAATCCAGGTTAAAAATACGTAAAATCCTGGCGCGCAAATTTTACTTTGTGTTTGTAGGGATAGTATCCTACGTCCGTAGGGCGCTCAGAATAGTGTCTAATGGAACTTAAGATGAGTTTCCTTAAATTTAATCGGCCTTAAAGCTAATCTTGCAAGTTAAGCACATTGCTAACTGACTGCTTAGTCTTTAACCATTAACCAAGGGATTGCGAGTTCGACCGCCATGCGGGCCCATATTTACAAAAGCCTTGTACAGCTTCACCCATTCGTCAACGAGCGTTTCACCATTAAGTACAACGTTGGTGACTCAGGTAGCGCAGACAGTCGTTTATTGCATACAGCCATGCTTTGTGTGTTTAATTAAAATCGGTTTCCGTTGCAGTAAATAATGAAACCAGTGACTCTATATTATCCCGCTTTAGCGGAAATAAGTGATCAGTCGATGCTCAAGACCATGGTACGTTGTATTCAACAATGAATAA